GGGGGGGGGGGGGGGGGAGGATGGTTGGGGGACAATTGGGTGGGGATACGGGGTATAAAAGCAATTTCTGGTGATTTGTATCTCATAAATATTCATAATAATAAAAAAGAAAGAAAGAAAGAAAGAAAAATACCTTCTCTAAAAGCGTTTGCAGGAGGGAAGTCTTTCTTATTCTAAACCTCAAAATCAAAATACATTGGGCTTTAAAGAACATTCAATTAGATGCAATCACTTACAGTTTTTTTATCTTTTATTATAAAAAGTTATAGTTTAATACTCATTTAGCATTACTTGAAATTAACTATATTTGCAAAAAGAGAAATTTGTTCTTGACTTATTTTTTTCTTAAATGGAGAAAACACAATTTTTAAAAAAAGGAGGGAGGGGGAATTTTATAATATGATATTACTTACTGGCAACTATGTCTTATATCACTATCTATAGATTCCAACACAGGAGAATATCTTTGACTCAAGAAGTGTTCTCCATCTGGGAAAGTCAGTGTCAAGTACCAGCTTCATATTTTCAAAAGAGTGAAGATGGAAAATAGTTGGCCAAATCAGCCAGATTAACTCTGACGGTCACTAGGATGACAGATAACAGAAGCAGAACAGCCACACTCACATCATATAACTCTGTCATCCTACTGGGTTTTCAAGACCTACCACAATATTATGAATTATAGTTTATCTAGATCAATAGTTTTTATTTACTGACACTGTGTTTGCCATATATATTTCTTCTCTGAATAACTGCAAATGACAATGAACCTTAGATCTACAGAGAAGCTGCTGTTAACACTTAAAACTGTGGAACATTTCAAGAAAATCCTTAAATTTTCAGAACTTCACTTTCTGGCATCAAGACATTTGGGTACTCATAAGTTTGTGATAAAATAGAAACATTTCTGTACATGGATGGATGTTCCCAATTTTGAGGCGTATATGACAACTTCAGTCTAGTGATGAAAAACTTAGAAAGATTTATAGATACCTCTAATTCTTCATTATTATCTTCTCCTCTTTCATATCCTCCAAGTACTTGCATTTCTGCAATATTTCTTCGACCTATATTTGCTTGTTCTCTTTGTCTGCTTCCTGATCCTCTCGATGACATTGAGCTTGAGGAACTGGGATCTCTGGGATTATTTGACGTTGGAAAAGTAGGTCTACAGTAAGGTAGAATATCCTCTGTGTAATGAAATAGAATACATGCATGTGAACACCATTGTACACTTTCACTGTGTAATGCATCACTCACGTTTATCAGTACTTCTGCATGAGCGAGCATCAGTGATTCAGATGTATAAATGAGGACACTTTATAAGCATAATGAATAATGCAGCACTGTCTTTTGAAAAGGAAAATAACAAGCCTTATTGTTTTCCTAGTAGTAGTTAGGGATTTGGATTGATTCCACTTGTAAGCTCTTGTCCATCTCAAACTCACTTGGGATGAATATCACTAAAAGAGGTAAACCAAAACGAGTTAGACATGGCTTCCAATTCTATCATTCACTATGTGATCTCAGATTATTTTAGNAAAACGAGTTAGACATGGCTTCCAATTCTATCATTCACTATGTGATCTCAGATTATTTTAGACTTTAGTTTGCACTTTTCTAAAAAAGTGGTAATAGTGTTAATACATAGAGAAGCTCCTAATGTTGACATGAAAACAGATGAGAGAGAGAAATCTCTATGTAAACTATAAAGTATTATTATAAGGAATTAGTGGAAACGGAGTCCAGTATCCAAAACTACCAAATCTGAGCCAAACCCAAGTTCATTCACCAGACTCCAAGGTATCAACCTCCATTATGACATCGTGTTTACTTTGTAGAACTTTGAATGTCAGAAACTTGCCATTGTTGATAACTTCAAAAAAACAAGCCACTCTAGTTAACTGCTTTCTCCTGAATTTCTATCTCCATCTTGCTTTAACTTTGTTCCTACTTCTATTAATACCTTGTCCAACTGCTCACTTGTCTCCAAAGTCTGTCCATTCTACCCTTTGTACATCAAACTTGTAAAGAAAATAATTCTTCTATTGGCTTTTTAATTTTTCTACCCAGAAAGCATTCTCTAGTAGCTTTAGTTTGCACTTTTCTAAAAAAGTGGTAATAGTGTTAATACCTAGAGAAGCTCCTAATGTTGACATGAAAACAGATGAGAGAGAGAAATCTCTATGTAAACTATAAAGTATTATTATAAGGAATTAGTGGAAACTGAGTCCAGTATCCAAAACTACGAAATCTGAGCCAAACCCAAGTTCATTCACCAGACTCCAAGGTATCAACCTCCATTATGACATCGTATTTACGTTGTAAAACTTTGAATGTCAGAAACTTGCCATTGTTGATAACATCAAAAAAAACAAGCCACTCTAGTTAACTGCTTTCTCCTGAATTTCTATCTCCATCTTGCTTTAACTTTGTTCCTACTTCTATTAATACATTGTCCAACTGCTCACTTGTCTCCAAAGTCTGTCCATTCTACCCTTTGTACATCAAACTCGTAAAGAAAATAATTCTTCTATTGGCTTTTTAATTTTTCTACCCAGAAAGCATTCTCTAGTATTGCCTGAATGAAAACTGATTTCTCCTGAAGTTTGCACCGACATTCTCTCTAGCAGAAGGGTAAGGAGGCAGGTTTGCCTCTAACTAACCAACACTGATTCGAAGTCATTGCTCCTCCGTCCTTGCCCCCAAACATTCTCCTCCCGTGAGGTCCAAGCCATTCATGACATTCTCTCTAGCAGAAGGGTAAGGAGGCAGGTTTGCCTCTAACTAACCAACACTGATTCTAAGTCATTGCTCCTCCGTCCTTGCCCCCAAACATTCTCCTCCCGTGAGGTCCAAGCCATTCATCTGGCTCCTTGCTCATTCCATTCTGCTTATCATAACTTTAACCCCCTACCCACAATTTCAACTCACAGGTGTCTAATGGTCCAGGAGGATGACTGCTCCTGCAATGTCTCTTCATGGTCCTTGGTCTCCTGTGAACTTCATCTTCTGTCCCTGTTTATTAATCTTTTTCTCTCTATTAACTTTAGTTTTGTCAAACTGCAATATAATAAAATCTCTCTTGCTGAAAACTTTCCCCTACGCCTGTGCTGTACATGAATCCATACATTTTTTTCTCTCCTCACTGCTCAGCCAAGCTTCTTGAAAAGTAATTTGGATTCAATGTTGGTAGCTGCAACTCCAATTCACTCTGCATCCCACTGAAAGCTAATTATACCGACATTACTACTATGAAATGAAGATAGGGGGCTGGCTGGTTAGCTCAGTTGGTTAGAGAGCAGCCTTGTAACACCAAGATCATGGGTTTGGATCCCCTGGCTTCCAAAAAAAAATTAAAATATATATATACACATATCAAGAAACTGAGATAATTCACTGTTGACTTTGCTAATGCTAACCATGTTTCAGTCCTTATTTCTCTGGACTTAACACTGCTCTTAGTCAATGTAAACAGTATTACTCTCTCAGCTGCTGGTTCTCCTTCCTTTCTGGCCAATCTTCTGTGAGCTCTTTTTATGAAGTGGCTCTTACATGATGATGCCCTACAAGTTTCTACTTTCAGCCCAGTGTGTGTGTGTGTGTGTGTGTGTGTGCGTGCGTGCGCGCGTGTTTGTGTGTGTGCATGTGCGTGTGTGTGTTTATTTTCCCCCCCACTCACCCTGGAGATTTCATCCATTCTTACAGACTGTAAACTTTCTGTCATATAATTGTCATGAGGGCAGGCATTTTTGTCTGCTTTGTGTGCTGATACACTCCCAGCTCAACATATAACAAGTCATCAATAATTAGTTTTGACTAAGTGGATAAGTGGCTCTGACTACTATTTTCATCACCATGAATCATTAATTTATGTTTTCATCTCCTGATCCATGCCCTGAATCTTAGGCTCCTGTAGCTAGCCCAGTTGAATACCTCCTCTTGAGGGTCCCTCAAACTCAACATGTTGAACATTGACCTCATCACCCCCAGATCCTAGAGATTTCTTCCCACTCTGTATTCTCTCCTCTCTCTCTTTTTTTTTTTTTTTTCAGCCGGCTGTTACAAGAATCCGAATCCTTGACCCCCTCTGTATTCTCTACGTAGCTAACAACATCACTAATCCTCAAGTTATACAAGATAAAAAACTAAAATTATTTTACATTCTTCCCTCCCTTTCAACAACTTTTCTGTACCCCCTAGGTGTACCCTTTCTACATATTCAAACATATAACAACTAAGGCTGGTTTTGACTCTAAGTTCCTTGAATGTTCCCATTCACCCATCCTGCTCTTGTAGCCTGGTCTGTATTCTCTGCATCTCTTGTCTAAGGGCTGCACACATTGTCCAGCAGGACTCTGCCTCTTGAGCTTTCCCCTCTAAACCATTTCTTCCCAGCCACTTTCTTCTATAGCAGGATCTATAGGCTCTTTATGAGGTAAGCCTACATTCACCTCAAGAGCTTTATCTTTGACCACCTTTACTATCCAGTAATACTGAATTTCTTGTTCCTCAATGGGCCTTAAAGTTTTTCATGCTCACTTTTCTGCCAGAAGAATCCACTTTTCTTACCCTAGCTAAACCCCACCTATCTTGAACACTCAGCTTACATGACATTTCCGCCAGGAAAGATCAAGAGGTCTTTCCTAATATTGCATCTCCTGAAAGACTGGGCTAATTGTCCCTCTTCTGGACTCTCAAGTATCATGGCACCATGAAGGCTACACTGAATAAAAAAATATCTGTGAATCGACAATCCGTCTCCCTCTCTAACTACAAGCTCCTTGGAGGACAAGGTTCATGCTTACACATAAATCTCAGGACTTAGTACAATGCTTAATAACACAGTAGGTGTTTGATATATGTAGAACTAAATAGAAGTAACTGAAGTACATGTCAGCAGAAAGATCAGACATTCAAGTCTAACAGACCACTCTTCTTAATTAAAAATAACCATTCATTACACATGTAAATCAGGGAGCCTTTCATTGTAAGTAATGTAAATTGAATTATGAAGGTGAAAATTACAGCAATGCATAGAAATGATTATTTAATAACATACACAGGTCTATGATTCAAATAAGAATTTGGAAAAGCAGGACATGTAAAATAACAGCAGGTCAGTGTATCTCAGTGTTTTCCATGGAATAGAATTCCTTGTTTCTAGACAAATGGTTCTAGTGTAAGTTCTTTAGTGAGAAATATTTTTATAACATAAGGAACAGCTTACTAAATTTCTGAAGATAACATCATGACATTCTGTTTATAAGTCACTACTTAGAGTATAGTCACCATGAGTCAAAAGTTCAAAGGCAGATCAATTTTGGCTAAAACTTGATAAAATAAGCTAAAACGTTTTCCAACTTTGGATTGTGACGATGTCACCAAGGCCCATGTGGTCACACAGTGGAGACATCTGTCCATGTTGAATGTAAGTGAGCTAATGACCAGATGCCCATAATAAACAGAACATAGACTGACATCAAATCTAACCAAAATATATCTATTAAAATACAGTATTTATAGTACCCATATTGCTTTCTATCTAAGTTTCATTCCCTTATCACTGACTACTATTTCCTGACTCCTCCATAAGCATCTTTCTTTTCTTCTATCTCTTTGCCTGAAATGGTTTCTTTTCCTTTCTTTCTTTCATTTTTCTTTTTGAAACATAATTGTACATATCTGTGGGGTACAGTGCTGAATATCAATAACTGTGTGTAATATGTGATGCTCAAGTCAGAATAATTAGTGCATTTAACATTACACAATGTAATAATTTTTTGTGGCTCTTTATCAATTTCTGGCTAACCCCCTCCCCCTCTCCCTTTCCCACTTCTGATGGCCTCAATTCTGTTCTCTCCTTTTGCAAGTTCAAAGAATTATTGTGACTGGTATATCTTTCTTTCTGTCTTTATCTATTTGTTTTTGTTTTTGTTTTTAGCTTCCACTTATGAGTGAAGACATATGGTATTTCTGTTTCTGTGCCTGGCTTATTTCACTTAACATAATTTTCTCTAAGTTCATCCACATTGCTGCAAATAGCAGAATTTCATTAATGTTCAAATCCCCTATCCTGAGACATTTCCACTGATTTGGCCCTCCTGTCAAAGCCTCCCTCAACCTGTCCTCATCCCCAACCTTCTGAAAAGACCTTATGCTCATCACCTCCCTTCCAAAATTTCCATTCATTTTCCAGTGCCCTACAGTATGGCTTCTATTCTGATTACTGCACTAAAAACAGCTCTTTGAATACCACCCACGAACAACATATTGCAAATACTTTTTTTATTCCCTCTGGTTTCACATCCAACTTTCACCTCTGTGGCATTTTATATTCCTTCCTATCTTAAAATTTCTTCCTGCATTCTTTCCCTGACTAGTGGTGCACTGGAGCAGGCTCAACATCTCACAAAAGCCTGTTGTTCTCACCTCCTCCATATCAGTATCTTGAAATTAGCCATTTGGGGAGTATTTACACAACAGAAGTAAGCAAATAGCTACAAATTAGGATTTTGTTTTGTTTTTCCTCCCAGAGAACTGATTGCTAAACATTTACCAGCATATCACTGCTGATATTTAGCCTCTGTAATTCACATAATTATCACCCCTGTGTTGCTGGTTCTAAAATCCACTCTCTACTTACAGCCTTTCTCCTGATCTTGAAGACTAGTTGTCTAAATTGTAATGGTTTTCTCCATAGCTGTGTTCATATCTTAATTCATTCAAAACTAAAATTACTTTTTCCCATGAAATTTATCCTTTTCCCAATTTCTTCTACATTAGTTAATACAATTGTGTCCCACTAGTCATACATTGCCACCTAATCAACATTTGAATAACTTGTTTTCTTTACTCTCTTATTTCAATTTACTTTTCTAAATTCAGTTAGTCACCAAGTAGTGTTTGGTCTATGTCTGAATGCTTGTATAGGCCATATCCTCTCCTTTCCATTTGCATTATTTTAATTCAGTGCTTTCATATTTTATAACTAGATTATTACTGCAACGTAAGTACAAGATACCTTCATCTGCCTGATTCCAGTCTCTTCCTTCACTGTACAATACTGCCAGTTATTTTTCTAAAATACAAATCCTATATGTCATTTCTCACTCAAAATTTTTTGCTGGCTCACCACTGCCTAGACTATAAATCCAAAACTATTCAGAATAGTAACTCTGGTTTTTCCAATCTGGCACAAATACCATTCTAGCTTTATCTCTTACCATTTTCTCTAACCCCAAGAATCCTAATCTCCAGCCAAACTGGAAACCATTGTTCATCAAATATTCATTTTCATACTTTCATGTTCTTTTCTCAACCCATTTCCTTTACTCAACTGACACCTCTCTAAGGAAACCTTATGTAGTGTCATGTACTGAAATGAATCTTACTAAAGTTCTTTGGGTACAGGCCTGTCTCTTCTATTACAGAGCAAACTTCTTAATCTTACCAGTTTTCACATGGACTGATAGAGCCTGACTGAGTGCCCTGAGAACATATGCTCAATCTGTATTTATCTACTGCTTGAACATATCAGTACCTTGGATGAGATGAGTCTTTGCTGGTGGAAGGTCTCGTTTGGCTGCCTTGTTTCCTCGACCTTTCCCATCATTTTGCTGTTCCTGTGCTTCTCTGGAATCACCTGGATTTGTTCGCAGGTCAGCAACTTGTCTTCCATCCAAAACTTCTCTCCCCTTGTAACCACCTCCTTTTCTATCTGATGATCTGTCTGTTCTTGCTTCTATAGAAGTGAGTTTTGGCACCATTACAGGTCGTACCTCCAGCTGTGCCTTGGATTGGACGGTGGGTGACTTTATAGCAGGTGGTGGCACCGGAGGAGGTGGAAGATCTAAAAAGAAATATTTAAAACACTGTAAAAGTCTGCCACTTTTAAGATCATCAAATATTAGGATTATCATTTTAGTCACATTCAACTGTGAGATACTGTACCTTAAATGGACTAGAACAATTGAAGGCAACCAAGGTGCAAGAAAATCAACCATTTTAATATACTCCCATTGTGTAGCACAGAACTACTGAATGACAGAGTTGGGACTCACTGATTATTCCTGGGATAGCTAGTACTGGGCATATGTACTGTAACTTCTCCTCAGTCCATGGTAGACCTTCCTAATTGATTTCAGCATGATACTGCGGGTCCCAGTTGCTTAGACTTACTCCTTAAGGCAACCACTTCAAATTGATTGAGTTTGGCCCTTGACTTGAGACTTATTTGCCATCTCTAATCTAGCCTAAATCCCTTTCCATTTTAGTAGATAAGAAAGCTCAAACATGGGGACTTTAACCTATTTTCCAGTCTCAAAGGTAGACATGATCAAAACCAGGACTAATGCCCATAGATTCTTAATTTCTGTTTCAGAGTTTTTATACTACTTCAACAAATCACATGTTTACAATCTACCATTCATTGATGGAATCTCTCCACTCTGTATGTATACCCAGAGGGGTTAAACCAGATAATCACTAGTATGACTATAGGTTAATCATTCATATATTAGTTATAGTTGTAGTTATATATTAGGTAAAACATGTTATATATAATATAACATATATAGTTCAATTTCTTATATCAGACATACTTAAGGGTAAAAGTAGGCATAAAATTTGATATCTAGAAAATTTATTTTCTTTAAGTGGTACTATCTTTCAAGATGACTCCTATATATCTTTCAGGGAGAAAAGAAATATGTATCCTAATACCATTTGGTAGAAGAATATGAATAAATTCTAAATTTAGGTAGTTCTGACTATAGTATGGAAGATAGAATAAAATGGAAGCTTCAACCCAGGAGGTCAAAAGGTTAGTTACAATAGTTCACAAAAGTAATGATAGGGAATAAAATGGTGTTGGCGGATGTTCAGATGGGCAGTAGAAGATGGGTTTGAGAGAGAACCATAAAGAAATATCAAAATTATTTTATGGTCAGTGCAATACAGTATCAAGTGTGTGTGTATGGGGTGGGGGGTAAAGACTCTGAGATGACTTTTAGGATTTTTGCTACATTGAGAAGGTGGATGAGAGAAACATCACTGAAGGTATGGAAGGCACAAATGAGGAAGAGATGTTTGTGAAAGAAGAGCATGAGTTCAATTTTAGAAAAGTGAATAGGAGGAAACTTTGGTGTATCCAGACAGAGATATGCAACAGTTAGTTGTATATAAAATCTGAATATCAAGAGAGGTTAAGCCAGAGATACAGAGAGATTTGTGAATTATCAGCATAACTACATTTTTAAAATCATGTCTGTAGAAATAATATTTTCACATTTAGAGAGTAATGTCTATGTGATAAAATACATCAACTAAAAAGCATTTATAAGACATCTATTAAATGCTTAGTATTATAAAATTAGCCTTAGATTTAAAAAAGTATACATTTACATGGTAAAAAAAATTCAAAAGTATGTAAGGGTTTGAACTAGGAAATATGACCTGTGGTATCTCCCCACCTCTATTTCAAATCCTCAGTATTGATTATGCAGAGGTAATTGGTTTGAATAGTTTCTATAGATCATTCCTGAAATTATTTAAGCACATAAAGCAGGACTACCAAGTCTAGTAACTCCAGGGCACACTGTTCATGTCCAGGTAAAATTGTCACACCAGGTATTGTATACAGTACCTGTCTGCCCAGCTGTATGTGGTATTCTTATAAAAAGTACCATACACAAATATATAGCCTTTCTTTTTTATTAACATGAATGGGATTGCACTTTTTTCACTTAACTGTATAGTAGTATACAATTCCATATGTGTATGTACAGCTGTACGTCTTTTTTTGAAAAGTTTGGATAATGTTCTGTTCTCTGAATATATCATTATTTAGCCGACCCCTGCAGAGGAATATTTAGGTTTTTTTCTAGATATTTTACTGTTATTGACAATGGTTCATTGAGTGCTGTTTACATACACTGTTGGCCCTCCGTATCCACCGGTTCCACATCCGTGGATTCAATCAGCCTCAAGTCAAAAATATTTGGAAAAAAAAATACAAAAATAAAAAATATAAGTAAGAAAAAAATACAGTTTAACAACTATTTACATAGCATTTACATTGTATTAGGTATTATAAGTAATCTAGGGATGATTTAAAGTACACAGGTAGGGGAATGAATAGGTTATATGCCAATTCTATAGCATTTTATGGACTGGAACATCCTGGATTTTGGTATCCATGGGAGGTCCTGAAACCAGTACTCCAAGATATTGAGGGATGACTGTGTTTCTGATTCTTATAATTAAAAAAAAAATAAACAGACCCTTTTTGTCTTATAAATAGGTATAATTTTTTTTATGCTCATTTTCTTTTGACATCATATGCTAAAGCTAAGGCATTAGAATCCATTGTATTAGACTCTGAAAGCAGAAAGCTTGAGTTGCCATCTTACCACCAGCCGTTTTACTTAGAAACCCATTATAAAAAGTGATCAAACTTTTACTTGCATTTTTTGTTGCTGATTTTTATAGTTTATCGTGTTATAGTATCATATAAATAGCTTAAACACTGTAGCTAAAATGGTAACCTAAATACAGCTAATAGCACTAATTTCCCTGATTCTACAAAATCACAAGTTTTTTGTATTGTCACATAGATTGCCATTGTCACTAGTACACGATATCCATTCCTCCTTTGTCTACAACTTTAATGTATTTTTCAAAAAATAATACTTTAAATAAGTACTAGAATTAGATTCCTCCTTCACTTGATATTTATTTATGTTTTATTTTTGTTTGTTTTTTGTTTTGGCAGCTGGGGGGTACAGGGATCTGAACCCTTGACCTTGGTGTTATCAGCACCACTTTCTAACCAAGTGAGTTAACCAGCCAGTCCTGCTACTTATTTATTAAAGAAAACCAAAAAGAGAGAGTTAGACTACTGTACTGAGCAGACTAAAACCAAGAGATCCAAGGCACAGTGGTTCCAGGTGCAGATTAAACCTGGGACAAGCAAGAAGAGAAAAGTCTAATTCAGAGCATACCTGGAAGCAGAGGGAGTGAAGGACTGTGGGCTCATTTCTGCACCATCTGCTTGCTACAAACTTAAACCAGATTGCAAACACAGGTTATCAGGAAGCTGATGACTGTGACTACCATCAAATGACAAAATGTCTGGGCTTATCAGATATCAAAGCTGATGACTGCCACTATCATAAAATCATACAAAGTCTGGGGAACATATGACTCTTGAGACAAAATCTGTTACCAGATGTTCTAGATAGGTGCTATTTAAAACACAGGTGGAAAGGAGAAGAGAACCCAAAGGTAGTTTTAAGAATTCTAACTTTTGTATATATATGTCACTGTACCTCTAACAATTAGAGAGAAATGCTGCCAGGTTTGATTTTCTTACATAAAAAGATTTCCAAATAAATTCTTTCTTAGGTATTATAAAATAATTACCAAGTCAAACCAGGGATTATCATCGTATAAACAATTCTGTATTTCACATAGTGATAAATAGTGCTTTCATCCAATTCATACCATGAGCAGTACAAATTAGATTTAACAAATGGGATTGTGGAGCTATTTTATATGTATAGACTCTTTTTATATAATCATATAAACACCCATTCTTTATATAAGCCTTTCTAAATAACAGTATAATGCATGTAAAGTAACACATAAAAACATGTGCATGCAGACAATTCTGCCAGCATTAACTTGCAATAGAGATCCAGCACTCTATTTACTTAACTGCTTAAAGTCCCAAGACCTGGTAATTAATGATAAATCAAGTCAAAATAACATCATTCCAAAGAGGGTGGTGAATTTATAATTTATGAAAAGTAGGGCTGGAGAAATAATGTAGGTTTCATTTTTAAATCAAGTATGTAAATGCATCAGAAAGGTTGAAAAGAGGGGGTGGAAAGAATCTATTAGAAGGTCCTAGAAATGCACTTATGCTTGGCTTTAACTCAATAAGACTCTAACTGATAAATATTCATATATTTTAATCCTACCCTTCATCTGGGTTAAACTTGTAAGCGGCAAATATGAAATAAATAAATAATTAGATACTGTCTGTCAGTGCGACTATAGCATGAGGCACTTGGCTTTGCATGAAGTACCACCTGGGTGTTTATGAGGCCTTAAACTCATCAACAGAGCAAGGTATGACTACAATGCCATGCATTAGGAGCCCATAAGATGTTATGAGCTGAATGTGTCTGCCAAAATTCATATGTTGAAGTCCTAACCCCCAATACCTCAGAATGTGACTGTTTTTGGAGTCTCTCAAGAGATAATTAAGTTAAAATGGAGGTCTCTAGGGTTGGCCCTAATCCAATATTACTAGAGTCTATTTAAGAAGAGAAGATTGTACACACTGAGGGAAGACCATGTGAAGACACAGAGAGAAGACAGCCATCTATAAGCCAAGTAGATTAATTTCTATTCAGCCATTTTCTCTTTGGTAGTCTGTTACAGCAGCCCTAGCAAACTAATACAGGGGCTGACAAGGATCACCCCAAATTACTCTTTATTAGTTCAGACACAACTACTCTTTATCCCTCTCTACACAGCTTGCAAAAATTCTGCAAAAGAAATTCATAACTTAAATAAAATTTACAAAGCAAAGACGCTGCAAATTCAGGACTGATATACTATATTCTGAGCATAGTTCCCATAAGTCAATTGACCATAATCCAACTTATCCATCATAGTTAATGTATTTCACTCATTAAAAAGAAAAAAAACCCCACAAAATCCCCCATGTCTTACTAATATGTTTAATTTGCATTTTAACAATTGGTAGCTCTTTAAATTCTTTTTTCCTTTCCCTTTTCTTTTTTCATAAATTGTAAAAGTTGTGTCTGCCATTGAGCTTCTTCATGAAATGGTCTGTGAATAATTTTTCAAAAAGTGAAGTGTAAATTTGAGAAAATAATTTCTGAGAAAATGGCTTTGGTCTCTATGTCATAACTATTGCTATCAAGAGTATATGTGCTGTGGACTGGATGTCTCCCCAAACTCACTGAGGATTGGGTCCCACTGTGACAGTGTCAAGCGCGTGGGAAATCCTATTGTGGTAGTTGAAAGGTGGGGTCTTGAAAAGATGACTAGATTGTGAGGACCATGCCCGAGTAAATGGATTAACCATTGATGGTTTAATGGTGGTCATGGGCATGGTTCTGAGGGCTTTAAAAGAGGAGGTGGAGTTAGCTCTCTCTCTGCTCTGTCATTCTCGCCATGTGACATACTGCATTGCTGTAGAGTCACCTCACCAGATGTGTTCCTTGGACTTTGGTCTTCCCAGCCTCTGAAACTATAAGCAATAAATTTTGTTTTCTTACAAACTATCCAGGTATCTTGTTATAAGCAACAGAAAAGGACTAATACAATATGCTTTTCTTTTATTTGGTGCATTAAGAAATATCTGCATTTATATGATTTTAATTGGGTAATATGCATTGTGGATATGTATAAAATAATGTATAACTTTGTTATTTTCTTATTTTATTAAACAATAAGCATACAGAATTAAATTCAACACTTGTAAGTACAATAAACGTAACTTGAAGATGGATTAATGCTCCATTAACTTCTGTTCTTCAACAGAAGTTAAAGCTATAATTTAAAAATAGCTTTAACCATGTCTCCATTTTTTTTTTTATTTTTGGAGCTTAGAGAAAATAATTATTGGCTTCTGTGTTGCCGTATGCACTATGATAACTTTGCATAATTACTTTTGCAAAATGAGCAATTAGAAGTCCAAATAATATTTCAGATTAATTTTTGGCTTTACAAATATTTCAATATATTTCTTTGGTATTTCTGAAATTAACTTTAAAAAAATAACTTGGGTGGTGCTTCATCATTCAATTTAATAGTCATTATTCAGGGATTAGTTAGAATTTATATTTAATTATTAAACACACTGAAATAAGTACTGCAGAATACCGAACAATAAATACAGATAACAATTTTCGAGCATAGTGTAATGTACAACTGTGATGCTATTATTCTTTAACTTGGCATGATTACATTATTTAAAACTTTTTTTAAAGCATCACTGAATACCAGACTCCCCTCCAAACAAATATAAATAAGAGGTGGAGAGATCTGCACAAAGCTTTAGGCCAGATTTTCTCCCTTATGCATTCAATCTAGATGTGTTTACATTCAGGCTTGATGTTTGGCCAGTTTTCCAGTTAGCAGCACTCTCTTCTAGATAATAAAAATTGATAAAACAGCTATAAAACTTGTAAAATGCCATTACAAGGGTCCCATAAATGTAAAATTGCCAGTAGAGTTTGGGGATTTATACCTAGTGTTTGTTCCTTCTCAGAAGCAAACATGCACAAAGCCACTGTAATAACCTTTCAGAATCAGATAATATTCTGACAGCTCAGTTTCACTGACAAGAGTCCTGGGCAGGAGCCAGGAGGCCCAGGTGCGTTGTGTCATGCCAGTATTTAATGTAGTCTAATATCAGATAGATGCTAGTAAGAGAAAATACTCAGAATAAAGGACAGATAATAGCATGGACAGCCACTCATTGCAAAATTACTTGTGCTCATCCTGCTGTGAGCTTTGTATTAAATTTTTCTGTCAAGTGGCAGGAATCACAGGGAGAAGTATCTCAGAAAACCCTCCTTGTAACCTTGGATAAGGATCTATAATATTAGGCTTTCATATGATAATGGCAAATGATGGCCTTTTTGAAAAATTGCTGACTGGTAATGAAAGTCCTAATCAGATTGTGGTTGCAGAGGACCAGGAGGTGAGGAAACTCTGCTGGTGACACTGTTCTTCCCCCACCCCTTCAGCAAATTTAGCCAACTTGACGAGATGGGTGAGTCTGAGAGAATTTATCCTACGTGAATTTCCAACAAAGCCCGTGGGGTTGTTTTATAAAATGAGAAGAAGGTGGCGGTTTAATAAATGCTGGGCCACCTGAGGCACTTTCATTAAAGGCTTTCTCTAGACAACATCATGATGTTTGCACTATCTTCTCATGCTCCCTTCAGAACATAAGCGCTACCTCTCCAGTGAGCATCTGTATTGTACGTAAAGGCACGTAGGAAATGATTTTATTTGCCTTTTGGTGCACAAATAACTGTTTGTGATACCACTATGGTTAGAATTAATATTCGAACAAGTTTACTGCTTCTATTTAAATGCAAAATTGTTAAAAAAAAAAAAAGATGAGACCATGAGAACATGTTGGAGGAATTATCAGTGAATCTGATGAAGACTAATCTTGTGTCATTACTTCAATGATAGTAATGTCCATTTGTTTGAAACTATAAAAGAACCTTTCAAAGACATTGAAGGTATGCATTATTTTAGTTTCTTAAAAAACCAGTTTATTAGAAAACCACAAGGACTAGAGATGCTTGACAAGATATGGAAGTAGGCCACTCCTATAAGTAATGGGAAGCATACTGGTAATGAATTTTTAATGTAATTTCTAATGTCAGTGAATGCATTTTCTAGTCCTAGAGAGGCAGGGTAAACAGGCTAGATTCATAGATGTTTCCGTCCGTTTCAATGGACTTACCATCTGTGTAGGCTTCTCTGCGCAGATGTCCTGGCTGGTGTTTTTGTCTCTTGGCAGGTCTGGCTTTCTGCATTACTGCAGCACTCATGTTGCTGTCTGTAGACACAGGACTTGTGGGCCTAGGGCACTGAGAGGCATGAAAATGTCGGCGGCCTGAGGAAAAAATGATCAGAGCCAAACTCATCAATGAACTTTAATTACCACAGGAACAACTAAAACAAAACATTAATGCTAGAAACATCCCTAACTTAAAAAACAAAACAAAACAAACAAAAAAACTGATCAGAGCCAAACTCATCAATGAACTTTAATTACCACAGGAACAACTAACACAAAACATTAATGCTAGAAACATCCCTAACTTAAAAAACAAAACAAAACAAACAAAAAAACTTAAATAAACTCTTCCAGCAAATTATAAGCTTTTTGTCACTCTGTACTAACCACTGGAGAGAATATTCTAAAAGCATTTTCAGGCTTTTTTCTTTTTTTAAGTCATAGTAACTTGATTGCATTAAAGTTCATAATACCTGTTTATTCAAGAAAAGCATTCCGATTATTTTTGCAACTAGCTTCAATAAAATGTTATTCTTGAAAAAAATATTGAATAATTTTTTGTATAATATATTCAACATTTGTTTTCTCAAGAGGAAGAACCAAAGTCCTTGTGAAATTCATGTTCTAAGAATTAACAGTACAAATTACATCCTTATTTAAATAATATATGCATATATATTCATAATAGTCTTCAAAGGCAGACTCCTAATATTTTAATACAATCTCTGGTATTTTCCTTCCAAGTGGTCTGAAATTGATCTAGCTCACATATTTAGTAATTTTGCCAAAAATTACTTACACCCCTTTTCTATCTCAAGATATTTGCTGGCTCTGATACTTAAGGTGACACTTCCAAGAGTTCTGGTTTTTGGTGGTGACAGAGGGAGTTTTCGGTTGTTTGTTTTTAGATGGGTAATAATCCCAGGTACCAGTGGAAACTGAATTTACTAATAAGACATGGTGCATTTCTGAGCTCTCAAATTCTCTGGCTGTAGCAGGTACAACACATTTAATCCAACAACAATAGAGAGCTATTAGCCTTAACCTTCACTATTTTGGTTTCTGGGTATTTCAGTCCCAAATCCAGAACTTTCTATTGTACCACAAGAAACTTCAAACAGACTTAGACAACACGTCTTTTGGCTAAGGAGAAGCCACATATAGTGAAATCAACCTATTTAAAATGCTAATGTCAGCATATTAAATAATAGATGTTAATATAGCCAAGTGAAAAGCAATGTGATTGGATTATTCATTCATATTAACTTCAAGTCACATGATCAGCAAAACCATTTCCTGAAAAGAACATTGTAATAGGCAGAAGGAGGCCAATGCAAGTTTAGTTCATTGTAATTATGAGCCAAATAAGAACTAGAATTGCCACTATATTACAATACAATAAAATATTAAACAAAACTCTCTTTAGCTATGATGGGAACTATTACAATTAAAGTTACATATCCATGAAAACAGAGAATTAGAGCTGAGACTGAACTCATTATTCATTCTATTGTGTAAGGCCATCCACTGTAAGGCCATAGACCCTGAGGCATAAGGTCGTTTACAGACGAATTTTCAATGTTATTTCTCTGTTTCTTTGGTTTAATGAACTGAAAAACACCCTTAATGCAAAGCGAAAGCAGTGGCTTGAGATGCTTAATTTCACTTACTTACTTTTTTTTTTAACAGAGGATTAAAAAATAAGGAGAAACAAAAGCTACATGTAAAGTTAGATGTTATTTATTTATTAAGAAAGATAATTATGTTTGCATATTTTATTACATTCAGCTGCTACTGGGGGAAAAAAAAAGATATTTGGTTGAATTTCTTAAAATATAGGCCTGGCTAAAATAAATATACATTCTACAATAATAAGTTGAGGGAGATTAAACATCTTTTTCCTACAACACATTCTTGATAAATAATACATAGAGATGATTTTATGATATGAGTTAAATTTTCCTTGAGTATATTCTACACTGATCAAAAGTAATCATTAACCTAATATCTGATGAGAACATGCAAAACTGCCAATGTGATACATTACACAATGAAGAAAAACTTTAAAAAATATATACCAATTATTGATTTGTTGTGATGGTTTTTTTCCTTCTCTGAAATGTATCTCTTTCTTTCTGATCACATTATTTTACTTTTCTATTTGTATTTTCTTGGCTACCAGAAATACACACACACACACACACACACACACATACGCACACAATATGTACATAAATGTGTGTATGTATCTATATATACACACCCATATATTCATCTTACACAAATGAAAATCATGGGATAAATATGTTTTAAATTTAAATTCTTTTCTTTCTCATACTATTTACTTTTTTAAAAAGGTTGGGAGAAGGAGGAGATAAGTAAAAATAAGTTAAAACACAAGAATAAATATGTATTTTCATTAAAAATGAGCTACTGGCAATGACAAGGGAAAATACAAAAAAATATAATAAGCATTTGGATTAATTCAGGCTCCCAATTATTAGATTAAAGCGTGAAACATTTATGCTTGAAAAATCTATGCATAATACAAACATCTTTATATCTTCTCAATTAAATTAATATTCTAATTTGGGAGGACATGAAGAAAATGAGGGTTAAGGAGAAATAGTTGCTTTTCCAATGGTTGAATGTCCCACCTGAAGATTTATCTATTTCTCCTAGAGAATTTCTAATTAAATGTGGTAAGGGAATTAGCACAACAAACTTATTGTTGTTATCTACATTAAAAAATGTTATACTAGGGGCCGGCCCGGTGGCGCACTGCTACAGTGCGCCGCTTGGGAGCGCGGCGGTGCTCCCGCCAAGGGTTCGGATCCCACATACAGACCGGTTCCCGCTCACTGGCTGAGCGAGGGGCGGGCGCAGCACCGAGGGTTGTGATCCCGTTGCCGGTCCCGGTCCGGTACGGGTGCGACACTGAGGGTTGCGGTCCGTTGCCGGACATGAAAAAAGACAAAAAAAAAAAAAAAAAGGAAAAAAAAAATGTTACACTATACATTCAATAATACAAACTTTATTTAATTGACTATATGCATACCTTAACGAAATTTTACCAATTTGGGTCAAATGGATATGCTCATATATATTTGCTATCACCATCCTAAAATTTAGGACTTCCCTGGTAGCTTCCTATCACTCACATTACATAAGATTCATTAAATAAAAATAAAACATGACTTAAAATGTCTTATCAGAAAAAGAAAGGGAATCGTCCTACTAAGTCATATTCTTGGAACTTGGTTTCCTTAGGCAACAACAACAACAAAAAAGACAGCAATAACAGTTGCATTTTATGTAGGACACAAGATCCCAGGAGATAATCAGTGACTAACCTATCCACATGGAGTTTTCTTTTCCAGCTGGGTGAAAGAGCGTGACTTACCAGCAGCGGCGTCCTGCATTTGACGACGTGCCACTTTCAGACCAGCATACTCTGCGGCTGCCGCCACGGCCTGCGCAAAATCAGCATCAGTGAAAAAGGAGCCGTCAGAAGAACTAACGCTGGAGCGTCCGCTGGAGATGTTGTCCTCCTCTGAGGCTGAGCCCCAGCCATTGATCATGGAACCAGTGACAGAGCTCTCGAGGTCCCCGACACTGGAGGCAGGGGTCTGCTCAAGCCCGCGTAACAAAAGCCTTCTGGTTTGCATCTTGGCTACTTCCATGTCGGCTTCGTCCTCTTCCTCTTCGGGCGCATCCGTGTCCATATCTGAGACGAGGGGCCCTGAAATGTAGCCGTAGGTGTGTGGCGGGGAGATGGGGCGCGGGGGTGCAGGAGGACTCACGGGCTGCCGTCTGCATGAAGGCGAATGAACAGGTACGGCTCAGCTCATTATTTAAGACACAACAGGACAAATTAACCAAGACATTTGCAACTACAACGATATGATCTTTTCTTCTGTTGAGCTAATTTATTCAGGAAAAACAACTGGAGTATGTCTAAGTTTGATGTTAATTCGAATTGTACCTCACAACCAGAGGCTCTCCTGGGCTACCTTTTGATTCAGGTTTAATAGAAATATACTCAGCTATCTGTAAGTCTTCTTATGTTTTATCATTTGGATTATGTTCAGTTAAAAAGGGGGAAGTAATACTTTGGAAATATATGCCTATGTATTTGTGCTAAAGAGTTTTGATTATGATTATGATTATTATTTGGTAGCTAGCCTATACAGGATCTAAACCCTTCACCCTGGTGTTATCAGCACCATGCTCTCCCAAGTGAACTAACCGGCCAGCCCAGAGCTTTGAATATTATACTATTACTAAAGGCAACAGACATTGGTTCTGAAACAGTTTGCTCCATAGACATGTTTCTTTCCCTTTCCTTCATTGCCACTGCTACTATTTCAAGCAATGAAAGTCATTCATCTTGACTATAAAGAGTGGAACTTATTTTTTCCCTCCCAAAGAGTAGAATTTCATACAATTAAAAAAAAATACACATTCAGCATATGACTCAATTTCCTTTAGATTTTAGTCTATTTAAAAAAAGACTATGGGAGCCAAGAGACTTTTTTTTTCCCCCTAATTTATTCACTTAAGAGTTTCACTAAAGGTTATTAGCCACTTTAAATTCTATGACTTTTACTGTTATTCCTTCTCTGTTTAACAAAATGCTCAAAGGTTTTTTGGTTTGTTTTTTTTTGTTTTTGATGTCCTGGAATTAGTTAAAGACCAAAGTTGAGGATAAAAAGGAAGTAGTATCCCACAATCTAAGTTCACAAATTTCCCAATAACTGGTTTCAGCCGTTTTTGATGTCCTGGAATTAGTTAAAGACCAAAGTTGAGTATAAAAAGGAAGTAGTATCCCACAATCTAAGTTCACAAATTTCCCAATAACTGGTTTCAGCCATCTCTCCACAGACTTGGAGAGTCTAAAATACTTAGATATACTTAAATATACTTCTTCCACTAACACCACCCAACACCATCACCCACAGTGAATGTAAGATGACCGACAGGGTAGAGGGTATTTGCACGTTAGTGGAAAGAAATTATTCCCAAAGGAGGAGAATGCCAAGAGAATAACTCCCAAATTAGGAGAGTGCTTGCAAAAAAGAAAGACATATGGTGATTTCTAGTTGGAGGACTGTCAGCAACAGTCCCAGGGCTCTTTAAGCAAGGCTGAAGTGATGACATAATAGGGGAACATCAGGTGGAAGGATCATGACAACACCTCATCAAATTCTGCACTCTAGAGATGTAAAGAGGATCGATTCTACACAAGCCTGGCAACCTGAGCACTTGTGTTGGAGAGTGTCTGAGATTAGGATCTAGTGTCATCTGGTGATCTCCATGGCTTGGGAAACTAGGAGAGATATGGCATGAATGCCACCGATGGGTAGTCCATCTGAGGTTGTGGCTAAATCATTCAATAACTACAAATGCCTAGAGACAATGAACTGAGGCACAGGATTGAGGCCTTCATTAGTGGGGTAAGCTAGTGCCAGCGTCCCTTCCCCACCACCATTTGATACTCATAGAGTAAGATGAAATACAAGAGTCATTAGGGCTAACAATGGAGAAGACTGGATCTTCATCTGGTTTGCCCTCTTTTTATTCTCGACCCTGCCTTAGCACCTGCATGTGTCAGGAGGAGAGAGGTGGTTAAAAGCAGAACATGCCCCTTAACCCATGCTACCATAGTCACAGACAGGTGCATTTTGCAAAGGATGTCTGGGTTTTAAAATTAACGGAACTGGTATTAAATTAAAAGCAAGCAAACAAATAAAACCATGTAGGATCTTGTCAATATCTAGCTAAGGTCAATACCATATAGCATCTGGTCAAGATCTCTATTGTAAAGAGGAAAAAGTAAGTTCAACATAGCACAGTTTTAAGGGTGGCATATCAGTTCTCTGAAGAAAAATATTTTCTGCTTATTATCCCAATGAATTGAGACACTTCAATAAACCTGCTTTATTAATGCAAATAAAAAATATTACAAATAAATGATTATGAAAACACAATTAACTCATTGTTTACTGAACACTTATTTTGTAGCTAAGCATATTTCACAATGTTGATTCATTTAATTCTCACAACAACTTTCTGAGTTACTTTTTAATTACGATTTTACAGATGATGATATTGAAATTCTAAGGACATTGCCAAAATTCCCACAGCTAGTATGTATGAAACGCAGAATTTGAACCCAAATTTTATTTCCAAGGTCATGACTTTCTTTCTAGGAATGCTATTATTATATACAAATACACACATGCCTATATGTAAATATACATTATTACATATATGTGTGTGTTTATATATGTTAAGAGAGATATGTGCCAAATACAGATGTATTAAAAACCCAAGAAATGAAGAATACCATTACATTGAAGAATTATGTGTATACACACACACGTGTAAGTATATATTATTATATATACACACACGCAAAGTTCATGAATATAATGCAGTCTTTTTCATTTCTGGGTGGTTTTTAGTGTGCTGTGTGTGGCACTAGAAGAAATATGAAAAAATGTTCCAATGCTGAAGTTATTTAAGAGATTAAAATGGATAATTGTTTCAACATGGAGTGTGTTATACACATAGGAAGAAAATCATTGTTTAATTTGGAATGCCATAAAATACCACACTTAAAAGTTAATTTACAGCCTTTGTCAGCATGCATACCCAAAATACCACAAGAAACTTTATTTCTTTTAAGACATGTAAAACTTCTTAGCACAAATGGGACTACTTTGACCACCACTAAGGGGCTGTAGAATAGGCAACTTCACTATGAAAGGATGCCAGCATTATTGTGTTTGGATAATTCACATTCTGTAGAGCAAAAATATCTTCATGTTAATCAGGGGCTGGCTTTTAACTACTACCACCATGTTCAAATGCTGAGGAAAGACAGAAACATTTATTCAAACCATCTGTAAATAAGGCAAGCCCAGGGAATGTGTGATAAACATGTACAGTTTGAAACATGTAATATATCTTATTTGAAAACAAAAAGCTATTTTAAGATGCTGCACTCAAGTGGGACTTGTCGCAAATGAACCTCAACTCTCTAGACTTCTCCCCTTGAGGGGTTTCAGTGCCTTCTGAAATAATGTACAAGTATAGGACTGTGAATCACAATACTCTAGGTTCCTGCAAAAATGATGCCTTCATAAATGTGTTCAAGAGAAAAACAGAATGATGCCATTAATTTATAAAGCAGGTGTTTATACAGTTCACCACATAGAATTTACTAGCCAAAAGGGGGAAAATGCATACCTTTAAGATTTTTTTCCTAACACTGGTAGATTCAGTTCTTTGTATAATGAATTATTACCCAGTTTGTAAATAGACAATATATTTAATTTTCTTTTGCCATTTTACTTTCTTTTTCTTCCAACTATTTTATATTCAGTCTGTCTACATTAATAAAATATCAGTAAATTTCCTATTCCATACATGAAAATCAGTTTTCCTTTTTTTTTTTAAAGATGTCTGGTAAGGGGATCTTAACCCTTGACTTGGTGTTGTCAGCAC